TGACCAGGTTGTTTGCAGAAGTGACAAACACTTTTTTTCTGTAGTGGCAGGTGGATTAGATGGTGAAAGTCTCTTAGAATCAGGTTCATCCTCTCTGAATTCATCTTTACCAGTCTGGTTGCTATTCTTCCAAGAGCTCCTATTGACCTGGGGAATACTGTTATGCATAGTTTTGTACTGTCCCATAGCTCTGTCAAGAACTTCTTCTATAATTATGACCATTTCTTCAAAGTTCATGTCTTCCGCATCTCTATTGCATCTGCTTTTCACCGCATGCTCCAAAGAACCAGGACATTGCTTCAAAATTTTCTCACAGACTAGAGATTCACTAAGTTCAGGTTGGTAAGCTCTAAGTCTTTCTCTCTGAGTGCTGAACCACTGGTGAATTTTCCTGTTGTCAACTGTAAAATAATCTTTCTCAAATTCCATTCTCATCTTCCATTTCCAGTTGTGAGTACCAAACTTATTTCTAATGGCATGTTTCCACCAAGCCCAAGATTTCTTTCCGCATTGATCTCTAATCCCCAGGTACCAATTTTTAGCTGTATCAGTAAACAGAGCAGTTAGTCTGCTTATTACCATGTCATCAGTCAACAGATAGTCTTGTACAAAAACATCAATATTTTTCAACCACAGTTCATGGTTGTAAGGGAGTTCACCAGAGAATTGTTCCCATTCACTGGTCTTAGGGATAGCTTTCCAGAGTTGGTATCTTACGTCAGAATTCACATCACCATGGTCAATAAAAGGGAATTCATCAACCCAGTTTGGAAAGGTGGTTTCTGTTTTGGGGCTACTTCTTCTGGATGTATTATCGTTTTTGTTGACCACTTTGGGCTTAGAGGTAACATGTTGGACAGGGTATTGCTGTTCTTGGGGAACATCCTTCTCCTTAAGGAAAGGTTTTTGAGAAGGTTCCTCTTGAATGTTTAAAATTGGGTTGTTAAATTTCAAGTGCGGAGGGGAATCTCTGTCTTGAGGTTCAATGATAGAGTTGAGTTTGTTACTTACTGCATAGGTGGTTTGGCATACATCACCTAGTCTTCTCTTAAGTTGCTCAAATCTGTTGTTCTCACTGATGTTTAGCTCACTGATTTGATCAGAAATATATTTAAAATTTCCTGTGGTTCTTTCTTCAAAAGATCTCATCTCTTTCTTGACTTCATCATATTTGGAAAGGCAATCAACATCTCTTACAAACAGAATATCTTTGAAGTCTTCTAATTTCTTATCAATATGTTGTTTCAATTCTTCTACATAGCTGGGACAGTGATGATTGCTTGGCTCTTTGTTTATTTTATCCCTCAGGTTGTCAATTACTTTCTCAATCAAAGAAGGAACAATTTCTTCTGTTATTAAATTAGAGATAGAATATTTCATAGATGAATTGAAATTATTCAAGCAAGATTCTAAAAGTGTACTGGGAATAGATTCTACTGTTCTGGATAAATCAGAGAGGAAAGTGGAAAACAAATCTTTTAGTCTATCTTCGATCAACAAAGGGACATCTCTAGATAAATCTTGATATATGTTTTGAAGAAAAAATTCCTTGTTTGATGGATTAGACAAATCATCCAAATCAAAACTGTGAGGGGAATCTATCGGCGTAGTTTTTCCTGCTGGTTGCCTTATCATTGGGCTTGATTTCTTCCTCCTCCCCTCCCACGATAGTGGAAAACTCTTCTTGATACTCTCTCTGCTCTCATCAGTCATTTGCCCACTTCTATCAATCTTGTCGTTGGGACACTGGGAGTCCTCTAGCTCTTCCCTTATCCTTTCCAATTTCTTTGCTGGGGTGAAAACAATGATGGCGGTGGCTGTCTTGGCAATAGTACTGGTGGTTCTGTACTTGCCAGTTCTGGTTGTAATACTCTGAAGCTATAAGGGGTGGAGGCTAAGGGGTACCTTGCATCAATTGAGCTCTGTTGTTTTGGTTCTGATTGAATGGAAGCGGGGTCGGAGAGAGAATCAGATGATTTATTATAGCACTTGTATTGACCACAAAGGTTTTGCACTCTATTGGACGCAGTGCTGGTGTTGATCTGCTCAACATTGTTGCTAGAGTTAGCAACATTACTCTGGAGATCATTAAAGCTGGCTAAACTAGTCTTACAGCCAGTAATATCATATAGTTCTCGCTGATTGATGGCAGATCGTTGCCTAAGCTTTCTAAGTCGCTCTGCTGCAGCTGGACTAAGCGGGTATTTCGCTTCATCGCTTTGCTTTAGTCCAGCCGGTCTATTTCCTGCTCTTGATTTGGGAGTTTGGAATCCACTGTGTTGTTCATGGCATTGTATCTTGCGCTGCTGCTGTTCAACGGATATGTTGCATCCATTTCTTATGTGGGCGCCCATAGCGAGGAAAGGGAGAAAGAAATAAAAAAAACAAGGATTTGTTTTAGTTAGATCGTTCTGTGTAGATGTAGTAGGATAGTGATCAATTGATCGGCACGACAAATCACAAGAGGTGGTTGGAAAATGAATTGAGCAGAGAGGGATACCTTTATATATTTTCTCTCTAGGTCGGCCTCTCGCTTTCTTCTTTTCTGAATGTAGAGGAGAAGCGGTGGCAGTCCACTCGGGGTAACGGACCGGGCTTTTGTCACGTCGTTCGTCTCTTTTCTTCTTCCTTTTTGGCTTCTTTGTTCCGGTCTGATCCAAATTAGCTATCTGAGTCCACTCTGTTGACGATATGAGATTTCCTTCTCGCAGTGGAGCAAGAGTCTGTCTTTCTAGGAGGTCTTGAATGCCTTCTATGTCTGATGGAATTGAAGAGAGGAGAGTGCAACTTGTTTGAAGAATCTGGTATTATTTATTGACTAGTCTTCACTTCGCAGAGTTTGCAATGGTGGTATTGGAAGATCGAGAAGAGCAAAAAAAGGCAAAAAGGTACAACGATTGGTTTGATTAGTACCTCTTCGCTTTTCTGAAGACAGGTTTGATGAAGGATTGGTAGGAGAATCGTTCAGAGAATTGGTTATGCGAGAATCAACCAGAGAATCGGTTATGTAGCGTTTGTGTTCTTCACTTCACAAGCGAGGGAAGTAGGATTGGTTGATCAAGGAATGAAGGTTCGATTAACGACGCTTCTCTTTTGAGTATTCAGATTGATAGAGAAAAGATTATTGCAAGTGCTTCGCGATGAGATTTCTGAAAAAATTCAAGCGCTTCGCAATGGAGTTTAGAGCTTTTCCTTTTGAAAGAAAGGGAGAAACTTTTCTAGCAGATAAAAATCAAGAAGATTGTGAAAAGTGATTCGCGATATAGAAAGTAAAGTTCTTTGCGAGCGCTTCGCGATGGAAATTAGAAAAAAAAGCAGGCGATTGAAGCGATTCACAATGGTTTTTTTTTATTATTGTTAGGATTAATGGAGTTTGAGAAAAGCTTTTTACTTAAGCGCTCCGCGATGGTAGATGAAAAAAAGGCGAGCGCTTCGCGATGGAATTTAGAGAAGTGGGTTTGTGAAAATATGAGTATTTGTAATTTGTTTTTGTTTATTGACTCTTGGAAAGAAAAGAAAGAAAGTCTTAAGATAGTTCTCTCTTTTTTTTTTTTAGAATTTTAAGAGGCCTGAGAAATGATGATTAAAGTTGAGTGTATGATTATGAGAGGTCTATGGGATATAAATTTCCCGATGAGGCCCCCAATTGTGAGCCTGGGTCTCAAAAGTGACGGCAGGACACAAGGTATGGGGGCAATTCTAGATGTATTTCAGATGGATAAAGAAATACAACTAGAATAAGAGAAAGGGAGAGAGAGAAGGAAGAGAATGAAATGAATAATATTCTTATTGTTTATTTATTTTATGATCAAGTTTTTATAAAGTCTTACTTTCCTTAGAAGGATGGCTGTTATTTAAGCGGAATTAATCTACGCCTCCTATCAACTGAAACTGAATAGGGAACTTGGTATTGATATATCAATCCAACCTCAATTTTTTAGATCAAAGATCAAGGCTCTTTAAAGGGAAACCTATGTGGTTTTCAGTTGTACCACCAAACAGATAATAATGATGACTTATGATGACTTGATTTGGATGTGATGAAGTTTAAGGCAGAGGTTTAGTAGAAACAGAATGAAGCAATCATTCAGAGAGACAGAGAAAGAACTTAGCAGAAAGATGCAAGCTGAACTTGTGGAGTGACTTACTTATTGGTGATCCTGACACGATGAGTGGGAAGATTCCAATAGTTAAGGGACTCCAAACGATAACACGGCGATGATGCGGCGGTGAAGTATCCAAGTTGAGGTTGGTGATTTCTGGTCTGAGTTGGTTCTGGGTGGGTCTGAAGCTTGAAGATCCTGAAAATGCGAACTCAGTATACTCTGAGAGAATTTTCAGAGTTGGATTACATAATCACAACATGTACATGTGGTAGAGAGTTGGAATTCCAACTTGGTTGATATTTCACAAGGTACGGTGAAATATTACAAAGTCTATGAAGGAGAAGAGTAGTGTAAAAGTGTGTAGTGGTGACTAAGGTTGGAATCACATGAGGAATTCATTTCTGAAGTCAGAATGTAATAAGATCAAGAGATAAAAAGTTACAGTAGGAACATAGCTGAAAAGGATGACTTAAGCAGTCTTTTGGCCAGCTTGGCTGGCTCTAAGGCTGACAATCTGTGTACCCACACCAGTATGGTTATAGAAATATTTTAACCAATAGTTTTGTTTTTCTAGGTAATGATCCTTGGCCATGAAATGACCATCACGACCCTTTGGGGAAATTAAGATTGAGTGTTGAAAGAGTTTACTCAATGCTGGAGGGAGAATCTCATTCAGAAATATCACCATGCGAGGAAGATAGGAAGAGTAGTTTTGAAGTCCCTTCAACGATTGGCCCATGACCGACCACATCTTCCATACATTCATCAACCTCCCAATCTCCCCACCCTTCATGGCTCGATTGGCCTCGATGACAGTGGAGAACTCGTGCAATCGAAGCAGAATGTTGTGGAGCTTTGGGTCTGAATGTTCATTTGCTTCATGTCGCGCTTTGCCGGTGCAATAGGTCTCATAAAACTTTTCAATGATTGCATTCCAACATGTCGTTGAAATTTTGGGTTTGGGGTTACTTGAATTGAATTCAACCATGGGCTCGTTTGTAGTGTTCATTATTGACCTGTCAAAAATGGACATATTTATGCTGAACAATTAGAATTACAACCTTTTACAATATTTTACTAAAATAGTGGCACTGACTTCAAACCATACAATATGGTAGCTTCATGTACCCGCTCCATATGTTTGATCATCAAGCCAAAGTCATTCTTTGGGAATGCCTTGTCTGCTGGGACCCCGAGGGCATCAAGAAGTCGCCAAGCACCTGTGTCTAGGGAGTTGCTTGTGTCGCCGAAGTGAGCTTTAAAGATTGCTTGTGCTATGTTCCACAATGTGTGTGCGGCGCCTAGCTGAAAAGCCACATTGTGTAGATTGTGTTGGCTGTAGGCACTTGGTGTGCGCAGTGCTCGGAGACTATTAAAAAGACGGCACGTTCCTAAGTCGCCGTCCATGACTTGTAATCGGCTGAAGAACTTGTCGGCTGGCATTCCTGCTTGCTGAGCAATTGATTCCAAGACCTGGCCAATGCCCTCGGCGCTGTTGTCTGAGGCATCCATTAGCTTAATCATGTGTATTGTCGGAGGAGGTGTGGCTGGGATTTGATCGATGGGGGGTGGTGTCAGACTGATGGCTTCAGAAGGCTTGTTGGGCACAGCAATATAATGGTGCATGACATTGGCGATTTGGCTCTTCCAGACAAGTTTGTAATGTGCTTTGGATTCCGGGGTTGGAAGGAACATGTAAGGCTCAATTTGCAAACTTGGAGCCTGTTGTAATGCTTGAGTGAATCGATCAAGAGTGAGCTCTGCTGGGTTGAGTGCCTTCAAAGTGAGAGGGGACGGGATGTGGATGTATCCCCAAGTTCCATGGAACATGCGGCTCTGGTGACCGACTGAGTGAGTGTGAACACGTTGTTCAATATCGATATTGTCAATGCAGACCATGGGAGCCACGACATTAGCCAGCTTGCTTGAAAAAGACCTCCTGATTTTTCTTTCGGCACAGACAGATAAGGTCTTGAGAGCTTGCATAGCCGTCCGTTGACTACAAGATAGACCATGGTACAGCAGATAATTGTTGACACGTTCGGTGACCCCACAAGCAACAAACTCAATACCATTGCGGAGTTGCATGCCATTATGTCGTCGGTTTCGTGCAAAGGAAATCATGCCACAGACAACACTTGCAATCTGCCACATGCACACAAAGAAACATAATCCTCGGACTCAGTTGCCATTCTATTGATAGACAAATCAAAAATAAACCTACACTTTGGGACCGGTGGTGTTTGCGCTGAGCATTAGACAACCGGGCATATTGGATTCCTTCGAGTTGAAGTATTCTTGCTTCTTCCAAGTCCGCCTCGGGCAAGCAATCAGTATTGCTAAAATTGACCGGTTCTTCGTTCGTACTATCTTCATCACCTTCATCGGCTACGTCGTCAGAGTTGGATAGTACTCCGATGAGAAGGTCATAGAGAAAAGGTGTATGTGATTTAGTGAGTTGTTCTATGTCTCTTCTCTTCGATTCTTCACTAAGATATTCTGGTGAGACCGTTCGGCTGCTCTGGAAGCATCCATTAGGGTAATTTCCACGTGGTGGGCGCTGACCTTCAACAATATGGATGGCCTGTCAGATTTCCAGGACAAATGTTAAATTAATCTTCCCAAAAACACAGTATGTATGTTCCAAATCACATTAAAACTCACTTCCTCCAGTACAAAATTGGACCACATTTCACGTCCTTCTTCATTCTTCTTGATGATATGAACAATTTCCTTGAGGAGATCCATCGTTGAATTCAAGCCAGTTGTTGCCCATAATCTGCGCCGATTGACTATTTCATTGTGGGGATTCTTAAGGAAAGCATGCATGAACTTCTTGGTGGTCCAGTTGTTCGATTGGATTTGGTTGCAAACTTCAATAAGACGTTTGGATTCACAAATCGTTTCCTTCTTTTCCAGAGGGGTTGGCCAACTACTGGAAAGTTCTTCCTTTCTTGAGGCGGGATAGGGTGCATTTGGTTGGATCATTTTTGTTATATCAGTGCCGAGTTTGGGTAAAATTGAAATGGGAATTGTTGAAAACCTCAAGGCCAGGTATGCCGGTCAACATTACCAAGTGAAATGGTGATTATGATTTCTGTTTATGATGAAGATACAGATAGACAAGTTGTGAATCTTTGATACACAAAATCTGAAGTTTGTAAATGTATGGGTTATGATGCACTTTTTTATTGGAGGCAACTTGGCTTCTCATTTTTTTCAAAAAAATATTAAAAACAAAACATTTGCCTGGAAGCCAAGTGGTCGGCACCATCTGAAAGCCCTAATTGAGAGCTTTCATTTACATCTGGGGTGTGGTACTGGAGATTGAGACAAAGGAGCTACATATGTAAGAAAAACCTCCCCAGCCAAATGGTACTTTCTGCTCCAGCCAGAAAAGTGACAAATGTCACAAGTCCCTCCCTGCGGGAGGGGGCGCTTCGCGCCCAGCGTCAGTGTTACACAGCGGCCTCCCACCAGGGGGGACTGGTGTTAAGTTCGGACCACTCTGCCTTGACAATACATACATAGAGCATCTCCAGCAGAGCTGGGGTCAGTTTTGTTGTGACCTAGGTCACATGGTGTGACTCGGCTGCGGCTCAGCCAGCCGGAGGAGACTACATCTGTCTCCTCCGGGCCACACTTACCGGGAATCCATACCGATATACAGACTCACGCTCCTACAGGTTCTGAGCCTGCGTTACCAGCTCTGCTGAAGAAATCTCGCCGACGAATAATACCGGATCAACCTTTCAAACTCTTGCCAACGAATCTTACCGGCTCAATTCTCTCAAGTTTTCGGCTACGCTGAAGAATCTCAAACCGATGAATCATACCGGACCTAACTTTTATCTCGCCGACGCAGGAATACCGGCAGCGGTGGGCCGCTACGCTACGCTACGCTTTTGGCCCGAAAAGCGTAGCGTAGCGGCGCTTTTTTTGCGCCAAAATTTGGTAGTGTTAGCGCTTTTGTAGCGCATTTTCGCTACGCTACGCTGCGCTACAGCGCTTTTAGCGGAAAAAGCGGCTAAAAACCGCTAAAAACGGCTGTAGCGCAGCGTAGTGGGCCCTTTTTTGTGGCCCACACGCGTAGCGTTAGCGGTGTTGTGGCGGAATTCCGCTACGCTACGCTTAACGCTAACGGGAATTCCGCTGCGTTACGCTACACTAACCGCTACGGTTAGTGTAGCGGCCCACCGTTGATACCGGCTTGATTACTTGAAATCTTATATTTTCATTTATTTCTCACGAACTCTGCTTAAATGGATCCTTCCCACGGCGCTTATAATCGGATTCGGCAGTTCTTGGCGGATTTGAATCTTGTTTTAGGACCGGTCTCACATGCAAATACTTATGGGCCTTTGCCAAATTTATATCCGATCAGATCTCCTCAAAACCTCAACCTCCGTGATCCTCATCAACAGCTCTTGTCAAAGCGACCAACTTCTCGCTCTTGAGCCTGGAAGAAAACACATTCAAAAATTGTTGCTCAGAACTTCCCAAGTGAACAGTGGCTCCCCCGATCAAAATCGATGATTAAACGTTTTGAGTTTGAGAAGAGACCGAGAGAAGCTATGCAGTGCAAGAGTTACCAGCCGCCAAATGTACCCAAACACTCCAGAAAACCCAAGCCAAATGTCCGATACCAAACTCCTCCGCACAGTTTTGAATCTGATCATCCATTCATCGAGGCAGTCGAACACAACGAACCAGGGTTAAATGAACCTGCAGATGGCCGAGATGTTTATGATGAGTCTGGCCTTGGCGATAACCTGAACGAGGAGTATCGTAGTGATTGCAATGTCTTAGACGATGAGTGCCCTAGCAATCTAGATGAACATGTTGATGATCTACCAGAAGAAGAACAAGCCTCTGAGACTGTGTCAGCTTGCTACTATGGCAGAGACAACCTGTCATAGCAAAATAAAATAATAAAAAATACTTAAAAAATCTAAGAATAAAGTAAAAATATTACATAAGTAAAAGAAACTAATTTACTTATGTAAATAATACAAAAACACTTAAAATATACAAATAACTTAGAAAGAATAAAGAAAACTTTAATTATTATTACAAATTCTGAATCTACGTACAATTTAACCTAGGGTACCTCAGCCAAAGGTACCCCTAATTGTAACCCCTTCATCCTGTAATAATCACTTAAAGAATTAACAGGTACCCATGGATCACGGGCACCTGAATAATTATGCATTGTACATAACAATATACATATACTCCAATTTTTGTCTCAGATTTGGAGTGTTGTGTAAAGTTTAGAAGATAGTGTAGTGTGGCGTGCACTGTCTCCAAGCCTGCGTGCCGCGTAGTCATGCTGCGCACAGTTGGCAGGCGCACCTGACTACAATTGAGCCCCAGGCTCAAGCCCCCGCGCGTGCTAGGTATGCCTACCCGCCTTGGATACATGCATAACCCCCTCTGGGTTACCAGTATCCAAGGAATTGGGCCACAAAGCCCCAGAAACTCACTGTGCACGTGTCAACAAAGCCCCCACACGTGTAATAAAAATATAAACAAGCTAGAATATTCATGAATATACTACAGTAACTCTGTATATTCCATCTTCCAGCTTGTAGCACGTGTAACAAGCCCCAGAAACCAGTTCTGGCATATTCTGTGGCCCATTTCCAAGGAAATAGCTCCACGTAACAGACTAACCCCTACCCACAGGCTTCTAAAGGATATTCTTGGTTCAAATAAATTCGTGCATGACCCCCTGGAGCTTCTAGAATATTATCCCCAAGGTTTCAGCCCTTGTTGCGTCACCATGTGGGCTAAAATGGGCCCAAAAGCGCTCCCAAGACCTACTAAGCTCCCCTGAGCAACCCCTGAGGCCTTCCACAGGTATTTAAAGGGCCTTCTGACCGCCCAAATAATGATCCCCCAGCTTTACAATACCTTATAGAAATTTACTTACCCTTTACAAGTCCCCTACACTTGTAATTAGCCTAGTTACTACTATAAATTGCTGTTATTAAGCCTCAAGAACCCTCAAGAAACTCTCCAGTTATCACCCAGCACCCAAAATCAACTATTCTGAGCGCTCCCAACTGTCCAGTTTCTACTAAGAAGATCCTCAAGACCCCTTTGGATTATTACTAGTAAGTAATAACCCTTTCTTGAAGATTTTCCCCTAAAATTTATCTCCTGGGATTTAAACCACACCTGCTACAGGCCCCAGTGTATCAGGTACCTAAATCCTCTGCTTTTTGCACGATACCTTAGAGGGATTAAACTACCCCTGATTTATCAGGCCCCTCTGGTTTAATTTATATTAATTTTATTAATATAAATTGGCCACTTTTTGATTTAAATCCATAAATTTCACGTAATTCTTTTGAATTACCTGTACCAGTTCTATCCCAGAGTTTTTGCCATAAAAACTCTTACTTTTTGCACCTTGTGTAGCTAGAGGACACGTGTCTTGGCATCACATAGGCTGACAATTGGGGGTCTGGCCGGGAAAATTTTATTAAAAACCTCCCTTTTTAATAAAATAAGATACCTGGATTTTATTCATATTTTTCTCACAGAAAATAAAAAAATAAAAATAAAAAAAAAAAACCCATAAAAAATTACCACTTTTTTTACGGTTCTCTCTCTTTATTACCACTGAAAAATATACATACAAAAATATATCATTCTCATTTTACAAAAAATCAAACCCTTAGAAAAAATCATATACCTTTTTTTTTGACAGTCTCTCTCTCTAAATTCTTATCCTCGAATAAAAAAAAAAAAAATCCCTAAAAAACATATCCTCTTCCATTTTTTGCCTAGTGAATCTTCAAGAGAACGCGGAATTGATCCAGCGCTATCTTGTCCACCTCAGGTTACGAAAAGAAGAAGCAGATCGGAACTACATCCCGACTCCGTGGGAAGAATTATCCGAAGAAGAACAACTTCTTCTAGCGACGTACCACGCCCACATACATCAAGAAGAGGATCTAGATCAACAGATCAGATTCAGAGGTTTCCTTCGCGAGATTCGTGATAAGAACTCCCAACTCCGTCGCAAGAAATACTTGGAGAGAAGTACATTTTTTTTCTCTCATCCAATTTACGTTATTTCCTTTTTCAAAAGCTTACTTCTTTGTCGACCTAATCCCGGTAGTGTCAACTCTTGAAAAAGGAATCATCCGAGCTGAAAGAGCTAGCCCAACCCCTTCCATCGACTCAGACGACGGCTCCTCGCCTCAAACCGCTAAAAGTGAATACTACCTCTTATTTTTTTTTGATAATTAATCTCCTCGACGATCTAGAAACTAATTACTATGACTAAATCGACCAGATCAAACTGCACCGATCTCAGAGGTCCCCTCCCAGCTCCAACGCGACCTCGCGGCGGCAAAGGAGCTGGAAACACGAGTAGAAGGCCTCCAGATGACCACAATAGCTCGCAAGGGAGTGGCCGAGACTCAGACCAAGAACCAAAACGATCAACGTCCGAGTACGGAGACCGACACGCCCATGGACGTGGACGAGCTCGACCCCGAATGCTCGGTAGCTACCCTGAAACGCCCTTCCACGCCGGAGATTCGAGTCCTCTCGAAGGAGGATCAAATCAAACTCCGGGTGAAAGAGCACGTCGGGCTCTGGAGGCAATGTCAGGTAGCATCCAGAGAAGGGCCGACGGCAAAGCTCAGAGCCTTACTGACTACTGCTCAGGAGAGTCAGAAGGCTCTGCAAAAACTCATCGACAACGACGAGATCGAGAGTTATGTAAAAGGGTGGAACCCTTGGGAGGAAAAGAAGATTCACTTCCCCGCTCCTCCCAAAAAGTCACTAATGAAATTCAAGAAGAACGACTCGGGAAAGAAACAGAGCTCAAGTTCGATCAACTACGCCGATCCAGCCAAGTGGAAGAATGTAGCAGACCTGCTCAAAGTAGCCGCCGGTCTCTACCAGAACCTGAACTGAATTCTAAATTGGCTCACGCAATACTAGACTCTTTAGAATCACTCGACTTTAACCTCTCCACCTTAGACTCTAATAGCGAATTAAACTTCTCTTCTATTGTATCTAATCTTGAAACCTCTGTTAATAAAATCAAAGATAGTTTAGATTCTAAAGTGTTGCAGATAATTAAACTGTTAGAGCGTCCGTTACCCATTGAGATGACGAGTAAACACAGCGAGTTACTCACTGTTGTCCAAAAAGATGTTGAGTATTTGAGAGAAAAAGCAAAAGATAATAAAGAGATTACCAATGAGATCGCTCAATTCTCTAGAAATTCAGCGGCGTTACATAACTCCAGCGCAGATTTTATCTTGTCCTCCCTGAGACAAGATAACATAGTGAATAGATCCAGAACTGAGTCCCAATTGGAGGAGCTAAAGAATCTGCTACTACAACAGCATCATCATGGCGAAGAGAGGTTCAATAGATTAAGTAAAGATCTAGTAGCGCTACAGAATGTAATGCAAAATGAGTTCAAAACTTTTAAAGACCACTATGAGAACCTAGTTGCCTCTGAGGCGCGCTCTACCAATTATGACTGTAAAAGTAAGAGCTTTCCGGAAGGGAATCCTCAACATATAACAAAAGTAAAAGAAGGAGCCCCTCATTTTTCTTATAGCAAAAAAGATGAGCCTCCTTTACCAGCGCCATCTGAGGAACCTAAGTATAATAACCCCCTTATGCTATCTAGCACTCCACAAATAAAAAGCTACTCTCCTGATCCCAGAATGCAGAGAAAATCAGATGAGGAAACAGATTTCATAAGAAATTCTACTCCTTATACGGCTGCTGAATTAGCCAATCTACACAAATACATGCCTCCTATCAAAGACTGGCCAGAATTCGATGGTAAAGATGAATATGATCACATTAGTTTCATTAAATACATAGATTATTTGCTAAGAACTTACATGGCCCCAGATGATATGATTACCTCCAAGCTCCCTAGGATAATGAAAGGAATTGCAGGAGATTGGTTTGTGACCAAAAGCCAGTCTATAGGGTTACAAAGCTGGGCAACCTGGAAAGAATTGATTATTGCCAGATTCAGTACCAGAGTATGGAAAACTGCTAAAAGAATAGCCTTTGAGAGTGATTACTTTGACCCTATCAAACATTCTGTGGGAGAGTGGTGCTTGCTCCAAAAGAAAAGGATTGAATGTATTTACTCTAACCCCACAGCTGAGGAAATCAACGACAGATTATTAACTCAGTGCAAAGGAACCATAGAGCATTTGGTCAGATGTAGACTGAAGGATATGGATGTTGATCTAACTGAATTTGTAGGAGTGTTAGAAGAAGTTGTTATTATGAACAACTTGAACAAAAAATACGTCAGAAATAATGTACCTGAAAAAAGGGAATTCATCAAACCAGATAATGTCAAAGAAAAAGCTCCTACAACTGAAGCTCCCGTAAGGAAAGCTAGCATACCTGAGTGTTATAATTGTGGAGAAAAGGGCCACAAAAGACCTGAGTGCCCCAATCCCCGCAAAAAGATCAATAATGTGGAAGTGTATGAAGAGACTGACAGTGAATATGACTCTGGATCTCAGTTTGATGTCATAACCACTGAGCCAGGAGAAGAGGAGTCTCATAGAATTGTGGTAATCCAAGCTGATATTGGTGATGATTTACATATCAATACCATCCAAGGAGATTCTAATTTACCACAGAAATGGGACTCTTCCATGAAAATAGGTCATGTTTCTGATGCTAAACTGCTCACTAATAAACCAGAAAAAGGAATGAGTTACACTATGGGAAAAACTAGTTACACCTCTGTTTTATTTGAAGATAAATCCGTAAAAGCTTTATTAGATATTGGAGCCTTTTGCTCGTGTACCAGTAGCAAATTTTTAGATGAAATACACCCAGAATGGAAAAATAATTTGCTGCCTGTCCCCAAAGCAAAATTTAGTAGTTGTAATTCTTCAATGAAACCCTTAGGAATTGTAGTAATGCCATTAATCTTTCCGCACTCCAAAGGATCTTTAAGACTGTCCATAGAATTCGTAGTTCTCCAAGATGCCATTTGTGATTATTTGATCCTAGGAAATGACACTTTTTGCATGTATGGAATTGACATATTTCAAAGTAAAAACAGATTCTATACTATTGGGGGAGACTGGAAAAGGAAATTTCAAATTTGCAACGTGAATATCAAACTACCAGATGTACCAGTTGAAATGACGGAAGAAATGATGTCCTTCAAGGCTGAATATCTTTCTCAAGCTGCTGTTAGTGATATTCTAAATGAGCAACAGAGACTAGATGTGCTTAAAACTTGCTTCATAAATAAAGAATCCTTTTGTACTACTGAAGAACCTATTGGTAACATAAAAGGGCATGACATGAAGTTGGAATTAACTGTTAAAGAACCTTATCCTCCCATCTTGAGAAGACCCCCTTATCCTTCCAGTCCTAAATCCAGAGAAGCTTTAGAAACTCACATTAAAGAGCTAATGGAATTAGGTGTACTGAGGAAAGTTGGACACAATGAACAAGTAGAAATTACTACCCCAGTAATTATTGCTTGGCATAATGAGAAGTCAAGAATGGTTGGAGATTTCAGGGCTCTGAATAATTACACTAGGCCTGATTATTACCCAATTCCACGTATTGATCACTCACTGCATAATTTATCCAAAGCTAAATACATTACTACTATGGATGTTCTTAAAGGTTTCCATCAAATACCCATTGACCCAGATAGCAGACAATTTTTGAGAATAATTTGTCATTTGGGAATATATGAATATTTGAGAATGCCTTTTGGAATCAAAAATGCCCCTTCCCATTTCCAAAGAATGATGGATTCAATTTTTGGTGCTTTTATCAGACAAGACTGGATGATGGTTTACATAGATGATATAATTATATATTCAAATGACTGGGAAACACACTTGGAAAAAATTAATCTAGTGCTTAGTACCGCCATCAAAACTGGTTTAAAGATGTCCATTAAAAAATGCAATTTTGGTTACGGAGAACTTAAAGCTCTTGGTAGGATAGTATCTGGCCTAACCTTAGCTGTAGATCAAAACAAAGTGGCTGCTGTGATGAACAAGGCTCTTCCTCATAACTTGAAAGAAATGATGTCATTTTTAGGCTTTTGTAGTTATTATAGGCAACATATCCCTCAATTTGCCATAGTGAGTAAGAATCTATACGCACTATGCAAAGATGACACCATTTATGAGATGACCTGGGAAAGAGTAAAAAATTATGAAGAATTGAAAAGGTTACTCACTTCTGCACCAGTCCTAGCCCAACCTGATTATGACAAGCCATTTATACTGTATATTGATGCTTGCTTGGATGGGCTTGGAGCTGCTCTTCATCAAGAATTTATTGTAGATGACAAACCCATGGAAAAACCAGTTCTTTTCATATCCAGACAAATTAAGGAATCTGAGAGGAAATATGGAGCCAGCCAAATGGAATGCTTAGCATTGGTATGGGCTCTAGATAAATTACATTACTACTTAGAAGGCTCTAACTTTGTAGTTATCACTGATTGTACCGCAGTTAAAACTCTAATGAATATGAAAACTCCCAACAGACACATGTTAAGATGGCAAATTGCTATTCAGCAGTATAGAGGGCATATGACCATAATCCATAAAGCTGGAAAGAAACACATGAATGCTGATGGATTAAGCAGATGGGCACTCCCTAATACCCCTGATAACCCTGCATATGATCCTGAGGATGAAGACATATTTCCTATTTTGGGAATTCACGTCTGTGACATGGAAAATGCTTTTTATGAATTAGTTCAGAGAAGTTATGACCAAAATAGTGAATTATTGAAATTGGTAGAAATATTGAGAAATGACAGTAGCCCCCCAGAACTAGCAGCTAGTTTACCACCTGTTCTGTCCAAACATTACAAATTAGGTAAATTTACGCTATTTGATGGTTTACTGTATTACAGGCACAAACACTCTAGTGTACTTGTCTTGTGTGATGAAGGACAAATAAAAAATATTCTACAAGAATGTCATGATAATGTGAATTGTGGCCACTTCTCAGAAGAAAGAACAGTAGAAAGGGTCAAACAAACTGCCTGGTGGATTGACTGGAAAACCCACGTGCATGAATATATTAAGTCTTGTGACACCTGCCAGAAAGCAAACAAACAGACAGGCAAGAGATTTGGACTCACTATCGGAAAATTGCTGAACCCACAGACAAATGGGAAATCATTA